AATTGCCCACCCCTAAATTAGCATGTTAATCACTTCTAAAATAGTAAATTGGCCCTAAGTTCAGGTAATTGATAGTATGAGAAAATGGAAAACAAGCCACAAAATTATTCCACAAAATGTATGGAATAATTTTGCAGCTGGTTTCCACTGTGTCTTAAATGGAGCATGTGGCATGATTTTTACCATGCAGCCTGGTGCCAGCTTCATAATGGGTAGAGACCTACTGAATTTAAGGAGTCTGCCCCCTGATTTTGTGGGCAGAACACAGGGCCTGAAAGCCATTTTGCAGGCAGAACATGGCGCTCCCCTGCACCTGTGATTGCCTGCTGGGCCCTGGTGGCTGCACCCCTTGCTGCTGATTGCCTGTGAAGGCTGCCCATCGTATAGCCTTGCCCCTCACTGCCAGTTGTTAGAGAGGGGTGGGGCCACATGACAGGCAGCCTGTTAGCAGGGCAGGGGTGGCAGCCATCTTGCTGGCAGCCCTTCAAGCAGGCAACCTTCATGCCAGGCAGCCCAGCCAGAGCTGCCCAGTACAGTGTTTAAAGTCCCTAGTGGGTGAAGCCAAAAGGTTCCTTTGCTGAGAGCATCTGCTTCCCCCCATCCGGACACTCTGGGCAATGTTCATAGAATAATAGAAAAGTAGGGTTGGAAGGGACCTCAGGAGGTCATGTAGTCCAACGCCCTGCTCAAAACAGGATCATCCCCAACTAGATCATCCCAGCCAAAGCTTTGTGTAGCCATGTTTGAAACCCTCCAAGCATGGAGCTTCCACCACCTCTCTGGGTAACCTGTTCCAGTGTTTTACGACCCTTCAAATGATAAAATTCTTCCTAATATCTAACCTAAACTTCCCTTGCTGCAACTTGAGATTTGCTCTTTGTTGTGTCATCTGCCACCGCTGAGAACAGTTTAGCTCCATCCTCTTTGGAACCACCTTCAGGTAGTTGAAGGCTGCTATTAGGTCCCCACTCAGTCTCCTCTTTTCTAGACTAAATAAGCCCAGTTCCCTCAATCTTTCCTCATAAGTCATGTTCCCCAACCCCCTCATCATTTCTGTTGCCCTCTCTCCACTTTGTCCACACCTTATCTGTAGTGGGAGCCCAAAACTGAATACAGCAGTCCAGATGTGGCCTCACCAGTGCTGTACAGAGGGAATGATCACTTCCCTTGACCTACTGGCAACACATCTACCAATGCAGCCCAGTATGCTGTTAACCTTCTTAGCAACAAGAGCACACTGCTGGCTCATGTTCAGCTTATTGTCTGTAACACCCAGGTCTTTTTCTGTAGAGCTGCTACCCAGCCTGTACTGGTGCATGGGATTGTTCTGTCCTAAGTGCAGGACTTTGCACTTGTCCTTGTTGAACCTTATGAGATTTCTTTTGGCCCAAGTTGTCTGGCCTGGGGTTTTAACAATTAGCTCATTGTCAGTCTTAGTCTCTGGGAAGCTCAAACGAGATCTCAAATGAGACCTGGAACTGTCAAGCAGAGACAATGGTCAGTTGACTGTTAGCTCCACATGGGGGCACCTGGCTGTCAACTTGTCAATACAGGGGGCTCCCTCTGTATTTGCAGATAGTAACAGCATTATTACAATCTGATTCCCCAATCCCCAAATTATATCCCCTGCCTGCATGTGTGGCAAGGTAGGAAGCACCATTATTGCAATCAGGATCAGATCCTAGCAGGCTGTTAAATGAATGTGTGCTAGGTCACATTATAACCAAGCTGGGGAAGGTAAAAGAGAAATAACTGCACATCTCAGTGCCTAAAACAACCACTGTCTGCTAAACGATTCCTTTACAGGTATGTTGTTATGTAATTGTATGGAACTTTTACACCTTTCTGGAATGTCCAGTACAAGTTGCTCTTGGTCACAGAATACTAAATAGTATATGGATCTTATCTGGGACAGCAACAAACCAAAAAGATTTGAACTTCACAGGTGGTTCTGTTGGACACTGTCAGCAAATCGTATTTAAGTTCAAGAGAGTCAGATAAATTATTGATTTGGGGATTTTGATCTTAACTACCCTGGTGATAATTCATAGTATTATCGATTTTACCATCATTTGATGTGTTTCTAATAATCATTTCCATTCATTTCCAAGTACAGTTGGATGCACTTTTGCACACGTGCAGCAAATCCCTCTGCCCAGCTCACCACCATTCCCTTAGCTTCCTATACAGATCATTACTTGAGTGGTGAGCTCTTCCCATTACCAGCTTGACTCTTCCTTTTCCAAATAGGTAACTGGATCTGAAGTAAATGCAATGCTGTAGAGCATGTTACAGTATAGATGAAATCCTAATGCATGTCCCAAGGAGCTTACAAGCTAATACTAGTTGACATAATGGCTTGGGAAAAGGGCTAGGAGGGAAGGATTGGCCTTTCATTTGAGGAACTCCATACCTTGGTAGATAAAAATATATATATATATTTTCATGAATACAGTAAATAATATTTTATCCTAGGCTTTGAAGAAGAACTAATTCTAAGGGAGAGAGAGCAGGAGGAGAAATGTATTGTCTTTGCAGACCATCATAGGTTGCTCCAAAATGTTATGAAAGAACTCATGGAAATAAAAATTATGTTCTGGTCTCTAAAATATTTTAAATCATCTTTCTTTTCTTTGACTAGATTAAATGACATTTCTATGGCAAAGATTTTTGCAGCAAATGGTAAGCAGCATGACTTAATTATAGCCAACATTTCATGATTTGTTTCTGTCATCTTAGAATATTCTGTATCTTCTAGAGATGTCATAGAGTATGATACTGTTGCTAATACTTTAAGTTCATCTTTACTTACCTTCATCCATAGTATTTTTATCTGGTCAATCCTCACATATTTTGGCACTAATAATCTTGCCCAAGAACTGTTGGTATTTAGTAAAAGAACCCCCGTAGACTTCCTTGGACTCTAGATTCAGGCTCCAAATCTGGTTATATTCTATGCCTGCTTCAGTGAGAAGGCTTTTGTAATACTTATTACCTTCATTTTATGACCCTATTTTATGTCACAAAAGATGTGAACAGTTTCTGTGTCCTTTGCCCAGCTGGCTAATGAAAACTGCCCCTTGCCTTCATCTCAGTTATGTTTTCAGCTGTACAAGTACGGAAATGTGCGCTGGATCCAAAATTTGTTACATTGTTTTGGGTCTTTTGCCGACTATGCTTATGCCAAAGCAGATACTTAGAGCATTGCTGAATAAATCCCAGCAACTCAGGGACACTGAATTTTAACTTAGTTACTGAATGGTTGATTCTTAGAATAATCCTACTGTAAGTCTGTAGTGCTGATGATACAAAATCATAGGGGAATCCTATTATTCTGTTTCTTCATTTTTTTTTAAATGAGGGGCCACCATTATAGCTGTCCAAATCTTGTGTTCTGTGCTCCAGCAAATCTATGTGTTACTGATACCACAGTATTGTCCATTTGCCAAATCTTACCACTATCAGGAGACCTCTCAAGGTCATGATTGTTTGCCAGGTCATTAATTATTGGTATTTGCTACTTACGGACTTCTGATGGCTACTATTTAGTAAAAAAAACACTATTTGTCCCATCCTTGTAACATGATAAGAATGTTATTAACCAATAAATATAATGTGTTGTTCCTGACTATCAACGATAAAATCAGGCCAGCTAAATATTACATTGAGTGTATGGCTATCCATTGGCATAGCCATACACTCAAAAAACTGTGTGTTTTGTTGCAATGAATTCTTTACCACTCCCCCCCTACCCTCATACAGGGTTTTATATTTCAACACAACAGAAAGCCAGAAGAATATCTCCTTTACATTCATGACAAATACCACTATCAAGCAATAAAATTCAAATCTAGATTTAAAGCAGGATGTTTATAATGTGCTCTGGGAGGCAGGGAGTGGGTGCTCTAAGAGCCACTCTAACTAAAGCACCCAAAGCATCACGTGTAGCAGTGTCCCTGCACTGAAAAATGGCAGCAGGCACGCTTTAGCTAAAGCTTGTTGAATGACTCTGATACATGTAACACTGGAGTCTGCTGGAGCACAGTAATTGCCACTCCCCAGCAGACTCTTTTAACTGAGTCTGCTCCAATGCACTGTAATTACAGAATGTTGGAGCAACCTCGATGTATGTGTATAGGTGCCCCTAAAGTTTAGAAATTTTCTCCTTGGACTTGGTTCAGAGTTGGGTCAGGGAAATATTCAGAACAGTAATAAGACCAGCTCTGTGAATAGGGTTCATGTTCAAATGCAAAATCTCTCCAAAGTTCCAAGTATTCAGATTTGTAAGTCTGTGTGACATGCCATTCACTTCTGAGCTCTTCCTGTCTCTGTATATAGATAGGCAATATATTGTACAGAATAGTTAATCCTAACTTTTACTGTGTCTCTATTTCTTTGATCTGATTCCACCGTTCTCCTCCTTTAGCATTCTTCTTTCATCTCTCTAAGTCACTGTTTTCTTCCAGAAGTTACCTCTCCTCTGTTTCTTCCACAGTCTCCTTTCAACTTTCACTCCCTCCCTTTTATTTGAGAAAGAGTAGATGATAGTCATGACTGGAGGGGTTTCCATTTTGCTAACTCCTACTGAGAAATGCAGAGAAATTAATTAGCTTTTACTTGGGAGTAGCTTCAGATTCTGGTTTTTCCAGGAGTGTGTAGGATGGGGGATATAAGGTAGCAACTAAGAGTATAACTGTAGTCAGTGCTGTACAAACACATACCTTGAAGAAGCTGCAGTCTAAGGCAAATAAATAGTTTTATAAGAAATAGATAAACTGGTTTGAAACGAGTTTTGGAAACAGGTGATTTAAGTCTTTATCAATTGTACTGTCCTTATGTATGCTGACGTGACAGTTTCTCTGAACAAATAGGTCACCTCTCCACCTTTCTAAAAGGCAAAAGTCACTGCTATTCCTGGTAACTATAGTTACTTTTATTTCCTTATTGCATTGAAACACTAAATACAGTGTTGTTATCACAGGCATTTTTATCTTAATGAGGGGAGAAACACATGCATTTACCTAGTATTATAACAGCTGAAAATGCTAGTTTCTGTTGTTTCTTTTTAAAATAGAAATTTTTCTTGTGCCTAAAACATACAAATAAGCTGCATGGTATAATTTTTAGAATTCCTCAACCAAACATATAAATAAATATCATTTATTTTCCTGGAGCAAGACTGTGTATAGATGTTATAGTAGATAGCTTTGTTCAAATGAGCATTAAAATACTACTTTATATGACTACCATTCTTAATTAAAACTGCAATTGTCTTAGGTTGGCAAGATCCTGCTGAAAAATGGGTGTTTCACCAAGCTACCTAAGCATTTCTGTTAGCTTAGAGTAAATTACTCTAATCTAGAGTAAATTACTCCAAAATAAACACTTCACAAGATAGGAAAGGTTAGTTCACCTAACTAACTCCTTCATCAGTCACAATGAAAAAACTAACATCTCGAGTTCCACTGTGTGCTTTATCTAAATTATTTCCCAGCATTATCAGCTAAAATCTGACAACATTTATAAGCTATAAGTTTTTGTTATGAGTGGGTGCATCTACACATGCAACTAGCACAGAGCAATAAACTCCAGTGCAGTTTGTGTCGGAGTCAGCAGCTCCTGGGCACAGCATATATTGCAGTTAGAGCCAGAGCAGCGCAGTCCCAGGCTGGAGGAAGGCTTGGAGGGTCAGCCCCAGGCTCTGGGTAGCAGCATTGGGCAGCAGAGGGGCTGGCTAGGGCACAAGCATGCTACAATATGAAGCTAACCAGCAGGCATCCCCTATACCAGGGGTGGGCAAAATATGGCCTGTGAGGCCATTCTATCCGGCCTGTGGGGCCCCTAAAAAATTTAGAAAATTAGTATTGATCTGTCCTTGGTTCCTGTCAAAAGTAACAAACCAGGGGTAGTAGGACCCAGGGGAAGCCCGGCAGGCTCTCACTCCCCTCACTCACTCTGCTGCCTGCCCAGAGCTCATGCACTGGGCAGCCCAGAGGCAGCGGTGGCAAACACTGCCCGGCATGGCAAGTGGAGGGGCTGCATCTGCTGCTGCTGCCATGGCACAGCCCCAACCAGTGAGCCCGGAGCTGGTGCAGGGCCCAGGCTGGCTATGGGGACAGGTTACAAGCTGGTGCCAAGCTCAGGGAAGAGCAGCCCCTGGCCCACCCCATGGCCAGTGCTCCATGCTGCAGCTGCTTGCAGCCCAGGTGGGGCTTCCTGTGCCTGCTCAGGACAGCCCTGCATGGGCTGCAAGCGACTGCAGCAGGGAGCACTGGCTACAGGGCAGGGGAGGGGCTGCTTTTCCCTGCGCTCCACACCAGCTCCTTCCCTGCTGGTGAGCAGGGGGTTGAGGCTGCGCACTGCCCCCCGCCTGTACCATGGGGCTGTGGGGCACTGGGAGTGAGCAGGTGCATGGGGCCCACACCGGTGTCCCAGGGCCAGCACCAGCAGGGCCCAGAGCAGGGCAGCAGGGGCACAGGGTGTGGAGGGGGGAAGGGACCCCACCTCAGGAAAACAGCTGGGTATTCGTATCCCACCGCTATTTCCACCATGTAAGGCAGGCCAGTAGGGGCGCTTCTGCGTTGAGCCGCCCACCTCCCTGAGCCTGACCACCTGCCAGGCTCCGAATGCCTCCCTAGGGGCGCCTTACGTCCAGCCAACCCCTCTCCCGGAGCACACTCGCTAGTCTGGGGGTAACGTGCCGCCACCACCCCGAGAGTGGACTGTCTCGGCCCTGTATCCTCGGGGAAACACAGGCCTAATAGTCCTACTGGTACTCGACCCAATACAGGCACTTGGGGCACTTCCCCAAGTCCGGGGGCAAAAAGTAAAGTCTCCCTTAGTCCGCAGACCTAAGGGATCTCTTAGGCATAATTTAGACCCACCCCTCAGTAAGTCTCCCACACCAGTCGAAAAGGAGAACTTTATTGATTACAAGGGGTAGGGTAAACTAGGGTACAGGATTGAGCAATATCTTAGAAATCCTAAAGAGCAAACAGTTTGGCTGTGGTAGCCTTTTGATAACGCATCTAAGTTACTGCCAGCTAGATATCTATCAGATCTCGAGTAGCTTACTCACACGCTTCTTCCAGAGGCTG